CAATAAACAAATCCCTCTTCAAATTTAACACTTTATGACATTTCTACACGCGAAACTAATGATCAGTTAAATTATTGGTTATCATTTGATTGTTATTGAATTTATATTCAGTTTTTTCTGCACCTACGCATACACATGCAAACGTCCACATCCCTGCAGGAAATGGCACTAGTTTGTAGCTAACTATTAACTAACTAGCAGTCGCCAAGTGGTAACTATTTATTAACTATTTCCTTAGGCCGTAGCTAACTTCTTTTGAATGGCAATGACCGCAAAATAGTGAGAACTGGTTTCCTCTGCATTAGATGTTAACTAACTTAAAGCTAACTGCTTTTGGACATCAAATCAATAAAAACATATTTTTTAATCCTTTATACTTTTATTTATTTACTTACTTTATTTAACATTACATATTTGCTTATTTGCTTACAAGTTCTTTTGTAGGTAATCTCACTTTGAATTCGATCAGACATAACATCAAAATGATAATATAAAATTTCGTTCTTTATTTTATTTGTCCTGAATACGAAAAAGAATCGGCGAAGTGCAGAAAAAAGTGTATTGATAATTTTTGTATGAGGATATTTCAATAGAAACTTGTAAAGAAAAGAAACTCACGATAACGTCTGCATGACACCTGCACGACTTTACAACTAACTTAAAGTTAGTTTTGTCAGAGCTAATTAAATGGTATTTATTTATCGAAATCTCGCAAAAAAGCTAACTCGAAGTTGGTTATTTTAACTAAGTAATTGATCATCTTTTTCTGCAGGGATGCTACTGGCAGCGTTGTTTGCATGACTGTTTAATATACATGGTATATTGTTGATTTAAGCACTTTTTTGTTAGTCAATTTTCAAGCGCGCCCGAATGTGTGGTAATTGCATTGTTTACTATTATAATTTTTGCGCTCAGCAATTTGCACAGATTAAAATTCTTGAAATTTTTTTTTTTCAAATTTGCATATACATAGCTATTGGTTTATATGCTGATTCATAGATTTACATATTTGTTTTTTTTTTTCGGTTCAATTAAACTCTTCACGCGATTTGCTTTAATTTGACAGCAGCCAGCTGAATTCGAATGTTTATTGCTACTTTTTTGTGTGCTTTTTTAGTTACTGTATGAACAGCCAACGTTTCGTTCGGAAAAAACGAAAGTCTAATAAACTACTAACTGCAATTTTTTTACTTAAATGCTGCAAAAACTGTGACTGTCAAAATTATTTAAAAATAGTCACTAATGACTGATCAGCTTTTTTAAAGTGAAGAAAAATGCAAATTGAAACACAGATTTCAATTTACTTAATTAGTAGTGACGAGCATTCAATTAATTTTAGTGATTTAGTGGTTTTGCTACAAAATGTGCCGCACAGCATATGAAATTTAATAAATGTTTAAAGAAATATACAAACAAGTAAAGAATTCTAAGTTTCTCACCTTTCTAATTTCAGATAATCTCGACAATGAGATAAACTTATATGGTCCTAAGTGGCAATACAGCGCCCATTTTCCAAAAATTCATAATTATCGTATTTTTTTTAAAGAGATTTTTTTGAGTATCAACTTTGGGTAATTTAGCATCCTTAAAATTCGAAATATCGAAGTTTTCGCCTATCTGAAATTTACGCTTATACATATATAAGAAGTGGGCCTAATTTCAGTCTGATTTTTAATTTTTTTCAATAAATTGATGTTTTGTCAGATAAGCGGGTTCGTGTGCTCTGTTTATGTACAATAGACCACGTGAAAAAATCCTGCAATGCGACCTGGTCACGCTTAGTGCCCATGGCGTATGAGTAACATGCTCTCCTGCTTATATTTTATAAAAAAAAATCCTTGCAAATTTTCATTTGAATATTCCTTTCTTTTATTTATACATACATCATTTTTATCCGTTAGTAGCTTGATTTTTTTGTAACAGAACAGGCTTTAACGCAAATAAAAAAAAAATGTACACAGATTTTGCTTTTTTCTATGAAAGTTTGAATTTTTTCAACCTTTTCATCATCGGAAATGATTAATTAATATCTCAGAACCCATATTTGCTAAAACTCAATATAAAATATTCACTCTTTAAACAAAAAAATCGATTACTACGTGTAATTCGATATCACACTTGGTTTTTCGAAAAACAAAAATAAACCAAACCAGTTACATTTCAGTAAACAATTTAACCTATATGTACGTGCACTTATGCTCTCTAATTAAGCGTAATGAGTCGCAAACAGAAAAAAATTATAGCAACAACAACTACAACATGACGTAAACAATTCGCACTTGTCATAAATATACAGCGACTATTGTCTATAATTCATATACAAATTTTCAGATTTATTATAAATTTGTTGTTGTTATTGGACACATGACACCTGCTTAAACACATAAGTGCATTATGGTGTCCCTTATTCCTCGAAATCTCTTACTGTTGTTATTTATATGCATGGCACACTGCTCTAGAAGAAGATTTTGGAAATTTTCTTATGTTTCCACTTGTCCACTTGATAAATTGGATGCACTACCCGCTTTTCCGATGGAACAAAATACCTGTGCAACAAAGGAATCGAATACAGCAAGTGTATATACTACTTCCTAACCGCCGCCTATGTCACTTTCTTGTTAATAATTCCGAGGTCCAATGACTAAAAAATATTGTATTATAAAAAAATTTTAAAAAAATTTTAACAATACAATCTAAAAATTAAAAAAGAAAACATTAAACCAAAAATACGAAAATAGATCGTAAAAAATAAATTAAAGTAAAAGAAAAAAATTTTATTTTTAAAACAAAAGACAGAAAAGGGGCATTCCATTGTGAATGGTGTGACATTTTACTCCAGAATGTATCAATTGTGTATTATAATTATGTCGTCGGATCCTGTACAATATCGAAAGATATTATTTAACATTGAACGATAACATGTGTATAAAATTGCTTTAACAAAAATACCAAATGATTTCTTAGTTTTACATAACTATCATTTGAATCAATGTGACTGGTGGGATACTGAAAATAACGCTATTTTACCCTTTTGCACTCAAAGATGAATTTTGGCCAAAACATAACAAATCTTCACGAACGATGTTTTTGTTTTTAAAATACTAATTATAAGCTTTCGTTTTTAATAAAAATTAAGTTAATATAGTCTTCATAGAAATATTAAAAAATATTTAAAGTTGTGCCTGGTGGGACATCTCCTTGTGACTGGTGTAAAGTAATTATGTAGAAATAAAAGTTTCCATAGGAAAAAATTACAACATCTTTTTACTTTTTTAATATTTTTCAACAGATAAATGAAATGTAGTAATTTAAAAAGCAGTTACTAATAAAATAGAGATAATTAGGGCATATTTAAATTTACGTCTCTTTCCTCTTTTACATGGCAAGACCCATAAGTTAAAAAAATACAAAAACTAAAAATTAAATGAAATAAGACAAATAAAGAAAATGAAATTTACAAATTCTGTAAATTAAAAAAGAAATAAATAAAACAAATTGTAAAAAACTAAATGAAATTAGTTAAAAAAATAAAAATTAAATGAAATAAAACAAATATATTTTTCTTCTCAAAACAATACAATATTAAAATTTAAAGCAAATTAAATTAACAACTTATACATACAGAATAAATTTCAAAAAATTAAATAAAATAAAAAAAAAATACTTTTCTTTTTCAAACAATAAAATCTAAAAAGTTAAAGAAAATTTAACTAACAAAAGGTAAGTAAAAAAATAAAATAAATTCCAGAAATTTTTTTTTTTAAAACAATAACAATGACTTCTTAATATTAAAAGAAAATTAAATTAAGAAAGCAAAAATACATACATAAATAATATAAGCTTCTAACAATTAAATTTAATTAAAAAATATATATTTTTCTAAATATCTAGAAATTAAAAGAAAATCATTAAAAAAAAAACTTATTTAAAAACAAAGAAAAAATTCGGCTGCCCGAGAACTAGAACTCAGATTTTACGAATGGCACGCCTGTGCTTTGTGCTAGAATAACAAATGTTTTTCGAACTATCTTACTACCTGGCTTTCTTTTTTCTTGCGAAAGAATTTTTACTATTTTAGCCAGAATCGAATTACACCGACAAAATCGCCGCGAAGAAAACACGGATGCCTCGTATCGTAATGTTTAGCTACGCGTTTTTAGGGGCACCCTAATGTACATTCACTCAAATTATGACAAACAAATATTTAGCACACTGCAGAAATGTTTTTAATATTTTTCAATATCATTGTGTCATTATTGAAACTTTGTACTACCACTGTTGGCTGAATGAGCAGACACCGATTATGATTTCAATTAAATACCTATGGTCATTAAATTTGCATGACCAAGCAGTTCGGATTAAATTTCTATTTGTTTAATGGTTTTGATGGAAAATATTTATGGTGAATAGTGTATTTGTTTCTGGCTAAAAAATTAATTATTATTTCAATAAATAAAATACTTTCAGCTATTATTTGAGTTTACTTTATGTTTTTCATCAATATTAAAAAATTATAGGTGTTTTTAAATTTATGCATTTGTAGCTCATTTCGCATGTCAAAATTAGTAGTTATCACAGCATAGTTCACTTAACACTTTCTTGCGCTTGCTTTGTCCTAGCTTTAGTGCTTTCCAGTGCAGTGCAGTGTCAAAAAACCTTTCCCCCTCCTGCATAAAAAAATCAGTCTCTCCCCCTCATAATATTCTCCTATTGGCCATCTGTTTCCGCTTTTGTGTTCGCTGTTAAATATTGCCATAAAATGTGCTTTATGCTTCATTACTTTAATGTCCCCTCATATTTTGCTCAGCATAATGCACCAACGCGCACAGGAACATAATTCATGACATAAAAGTGATTTTAATGCTTTGACATAAATATTAGAGAGAGATACATAGATAAATGATTCTATGAAATTAGTTTAAAATCGCATTTGGTGTAAATTTAACTATTTGGATATTTTAACAGCAAATCTTATTCTGATTAATAAAAAAATAACTCACCTTTCGTAGAGTTTTGTGTGAGGTCTGCAAAGGGAAAGAAAAAGACATTAAATAAATAATTTGTTGCCGAATTAAGAGTTGCATTTATTTTTATTACATTACTAATCATTGAATAACTGATATCTTAAATAATATTTGTTTTAAGCCCTTTTGCTCACAAAGCCAAGATATAGTAGCACTACATTATGTCAGAGCTCAAGGGCTCCATCCACTATCAGATGACCATGAAATACATGACATTGATGCGTATTTTTATTTAGCCATATTTTTTAACATTCAGACTGGTTTCCCGTAAACAATATTAAAAAAATGTTGAATTAATAGATGATATTTTCGATACCTTTGAAATTAACGGAGACCGCCCTACACGAAGTGGTTTGCACGATTGAGGACTAGCACCACAACAGCAGTAGGACTAGATCATAGAGCATATCCCTGGAATTTATATTTTTTACAGACAACCAAGCAGCAATTCAAGCACTCCCCTTGTTAACCTCGCTACGTGTGGAGGAAACTGAGTGAGATTTACAGGCCTATTCTGCGTCGGTAATAAAAAGTTTGTAACCGGTAAATAAAGTTCCTGTCAATTTTTAAACCCTTTTCGCATTCTGTGTACTTTTGTAACCGGTAAATTTTGTTAACATCTCATAAGCTGGTAACAAAGTATTGCCCCGTGAAATATGCAATGCCAGAATTCGCACAATTTTTCATAGCTGAATTACTGAATATTTTAACTGCATTACCAACGTTTCTAGAATCGCGGTGACGCGGTGGTAACATTTTTTGGTAATAATATTTTCCGGTTACAAAATCTTCGGTAACGCGCAGAATAGACCTGTAAGACTCAAATTCGTTTCAAGTTCAAAGTGCGAAGTGCGGCTCTGCATGATATACTATGTAACTCTTTCAAAAAAGTCTAAATCTGAATTATCGAAATTCATCATTCAAAAGCTAAAAAAAAACTAAAATAGTATTATTACTATTACGTCGGGATTACTAGCGCTGCCACCTAAGAAGATCTATTGTGCTAAACCCTAGTTACAATTACCCCAACCTTAGGCTAGTTAAGAAGCTAAGCACATATTCCAAATTTTGGATGGAGAAGACAATCGTTCCTCAAGGTCTGCTACCAGCCCACAAAACCTGCATTCCATCTCGACAAAAAGGAAAATTTTATTTAAATGGTACCTTAACTAGCAGTGTCCTGTCAGGCCCTTTTATTGCCTTCAAACACTCCATGAGCCCGCACCCACTACACCGATACGCTGTTTTGGATATCTGGTGAGTCAGAACAGCTGTCCACAAGCCTTGATTCCAGTTTAAAAGAGTCTAAGGCCTTTACCGCTGCTTGACTATTCAACATAATATTTACCCTTCTACGAAAATATTCTCGACCACAGGCCTGGTATATGGTTGGGTATGCCCGCCCCAGTACTCCCGTCGGTATACCATAATGGGTACCCTTTTCCGATCCCAGTGATGATCGCTTTACAGAAGTCCAGGGCTTGTAGAAATATAACTTTGGTTCGTGGGCTTGATAGCGGGATCATCCAGGAATGATAACCCTCCAAGTGACTCTGAAGATCTCTACATTTCATGCCGTTCGTATTGGGCAGCCGTAGGGCGCAATAGCATAAAATCCTTAAAAACGCAGTCCTACTAAGCTTTGTGGTTGTTATCGCAAGGTATAATTTTTTAAAATTCATCGAACCGACAACTGGCTATAGGTTTTCAAGTATTTGTGCTTTGAAAATTTGCTACAATGTCCTAGTTTCTTGGCACCAGGGCGAAAAATCGCTTTAGCCAATCAAATCCTCGAAATCTGTATCGGTATACATATTTATCGATATTGGCTTAATACCTCAATATTATTTTCATATGTTTTCTGCTACGTTTATCGATATATCGAAAAATATATTAATTTGTTGATATGTGTGTTCATCTTCGAGTGGTTTTCGGCAATCAACCTCGGGAGCAGCAACTTTCGAAGACATTGTATATTGCATATCCTATACATATTCGTACTCATACTTATACTCATACAAATGCCCATGTTCATACTCATACTAATATTGATATTTATTCTTACTTACATTCATATTCATATATACATATATATATATATATAAATATTCAAATTCATATTCAAACTCATATTCATATTAATGTTCACATTTGTATCATATGCATATTCGTATTCATATTCTCATATACTCATATTCATATTCATACTAATACTTATACTCATATTTATTTGTATACATATTCATATTCGGATTCCCATACATTTTCATATTCATATCCATATTGGTATTCATACACATATCCCTACTCCTATTCCTGTTCACACTCATATTCATTTTCACACTCGTATCAATTTTTATACTCATATTCGTATTCATATCCATATGCATATTCATATTCACACTCAAATACTGCGTAGTTCTCTGTAGCTTTTCTATTTTTATTTTGAACTCCTTCCTGCTTATCGTTTCTATATTATCGTTTCCTAAAACCCTTTCAGTCGCCTTTTATTGCTTTGATTATGATTTAAGGGCGTCACGCAAAATCAAGAGGAAGCCCTATGAAAAAAATCGCAAAAAAGAGAAATAAAAAATAGAAAACGAAAACGAAAACAATGAAAAGTAACAAGCCACACCACAACTGGATGAAGATTTATTCGCCCCAAAAAGTCCACAAAAGCAAACACCTAAGACACACAGCAATATATTTTACTTAAACGCGTAGATAACATCAAATGGTGCTAGCTGACCTTCGCAACGGAACAACTCAATTCATGGTATTCTTCACACACACTCTTCTCTCCAACTCTCCTCCACTTTATAAATTTCTTTTTTCTTTACTACGTTCATGGCTTCTTCCTCTACTCAGCTGTTTCTTATTTACCTTTTTATTTCAAAGCAAAGACTTCCTGCTAAACCAGCAACCGATTTGCTGATGGCTTTGACGACCATTCGAAGATGATTGCTCACCTATTTACGCTTTGTAGTCAGCTTTATTCGATAGAACACATAGCCAGCGAAGTTGGTGGCTTTTGGTATTATTGCTGTGTTGCCTTAGCGTCACTACTTGTCGGGCATTCTAGTTGCTATTTGTATGTATTTCTTTGCTGCTGTTATTGTTATTTTTATAGTTATTGTTGGTGTTGCTTGCCACTTTTATTGCCAACAATTCAAGTTTAGTATTCAGCACCAATCAAACGGTTTTCAAAGCATGCGTGTGGCCACACACAACATCTATTGTTATTATATTATATATTTATTTATTGCAATTTCAAACCTCGATTGATTGTTCTGGTTGAACTTTGTTGCCTTTTTATTGGATTTAAAGTACTTTAGTTGCAAAAAAAAAGCGAGTGGATTCCTGGTAGTTTTGATGATCATATATAATTTAATCTTCGAGCAACTTATTAAGATGGTGCCATGGATATCGCCTAGTCCAAAGAAGTTTGTACGCCTCTGAGTTGCCTTGTTGGCCGAATTTCTCAGCGCTGGCCATGGTCCGATTTAGCCCATATTCGGAGCATACATACAAAAAAGGAAATAAAAAAATAAACCCGCTGAGAGGCGCTGAGTCGAAGTATTTTTAAAAGTCGTGATTGTGGTCTAACTTAGCTCATATCTTGGAACATCCATATGTATAGAGACTGAGTGGTATTAGAAATTTTACAAATAAAAGCAAACACCTATGCATGCGTGGTAATCAAATCTAAAAAAGATTTTGCTCCACCTCATCAAAGTTTTTCTTTAGTAGCTTTACACTTTGGGGCCGTAAATTCTATTACATTAGTGATTTTATTAAAACATTTATTTCGAAGGTAATTCTTGTCTTCAGACGCCTAAGCGCCTAGAAAATTAAGCGAGCATCTTTTTTACCTTTATTTTTAGGAATTTTCATGTGAGTTCATTAAAAGTGGCAGACGAAGGGTTAAAAGGTTCGACAAAAATGTTAAACAGAAAATTTTACTAGTGGTCACCGAAGTTGAAATCACCCCCACCGATAAAATTTGGGACAAGTTTATTATAATTACAGGCGGCCATAAATTAAGAAATAACAAATAAATCGAAGTTCCTCAATTTAACTGCTTTCACTCTTCCAATTATAGGCATTTTCCTTTTTTGAAGAAGCTCACTCAAAAAGGCAGTTAGATGATTTAAATTTTATACACAAATGTCAAGCGCATAATTTTACTGGGAGTTACAAAAATAAATATCCGATGACTAAGAATGAGACACTGTATTTACCTTTAGTTTTTTCGTGAGCCGCAGCCACTTGTTTAAAAAACTTAACCCCCTAACTACCGCTTTAACTTAGCTTCTTAAAATAAGGGTAACAAGACACATGATGGGAAGGGTCAAAGGGTTAAATAGCTTATACAAAAAATTGCTAGCTAAATTAATTTTAAAGATCGCTAAAGACACAAATTCTACTTATACACTCCATACAAAATTTACACCTAAATGTTTTTTTTTTAGTGTGTGATATTTTTTTTACATTCTTCATAAACATTTTGGCGAACGTTCGAAAATGACCTTTGATATCCAATATGAATATCGAACTGAGAACCAACTCATAACCAACCTTAGTTTTCCTACGTTTATCGTATATTGGAAATACACTCGAGATGGGTTCGAAAAAAAATGGAAACCATAGTAACAAGAGAGAATGTGATATCCGGCTCATTCTCGAAGGGAAATATAAGAAAATCACTCTCTCTCATTAAAATTCCAATTGGATAATGGGCTGGATTTCGAATTCATATCGAAAGAAAAATACATTGGATAACGAAGGTTCCGTTTTGCTGGAGAATGGCCTAGTTCTCGAATCGAATACTAATCTATTTCACATTCGTTATCGAAGGTGAGACTCGAAAAAGGATTGGTTTTCCAATCATTTTCGAATGGTTAACTAAGCCGAATGTTTATTGGGTTCTTTATCGAAAAAAAAGAATACGCCTATTTTTTGTTTCATCATGATATTCGAAAATCTCGAAAAAACCATCC